TTGAAAAGGATGGAATAATTTCATATTTAAAGTATTTTCAGGAGTTTGGATTCTGAATATGAGCGACTTTTCCTTTAAGGTAAGGGTTTCTGTTCTGCTGGGTTCCTAAACTTTGTGCTTAAAGATCCAGAACTTCAGTGATGATTCCTCTGCGACTCCTAGTGTCATACATATAGATCCCTTTGACTTCAACAAAGCACAATCGCAGAATTTAGCAAATAAAATAGATTCTAAAACAAAAATGGGTTCATACTGAAGATTCGATGCTGTGATCGGAAGATACTGATTTTGATTCATCTTTAATTTCTAGCTTCAAGTCGAGGCTTTTCTGACTAAAACAGGGCGGGGCTTAAACACTAAACTGGGTTCAATACAGCGAGTGTTTTAGGGTTCATGTTGTTGATCTAGAAAATGGTGGAAAAACTTGTAAATTCATTAAATCACCGCAGATGTATTAGTTTTAGGTAAAAATAATGATCCATTGATTATTCTTTGCTGACTGGTCTCCTTTAAACCAGGGGAGTCCAGCTGGTTCATGGATGCAGGTTTTCTTTCCAACCAGGCAGTAGAGACTTCAGGTGACTTCAGTCTGAACCTGATGACTTGATGAGATAACTGGAATCTGAAACCAGTTTGACACCAGTGCTTAGAAAAAAAAACAACTCCAGATGTTTTCATCTATGAAATAATTTAATGTTTATTTAACCAGAATTTCCCCAGAAAACATAACCCTTCACATTTTCTTCATCAGCTCTACAGAAAATAAAAAAAACAATTACAAAAATACATTTCCCAGAATTCCCTTCAACACAACAACACACCTGACCCCACACACACATTGTCTCCATGGAAACACGTTTCCTTCAGTGTTTCTGACCTAAATGGCTTTTATTGTGAAATCCCTGCCGTCGCTGTTGTCAGCTGATTGACGCGATTCACGCGATCTGAACGCGGAAGGCGTTGATCTCCATTGGACGCAGCGCAGTGACGTGCGCCGCCTGGTCGGCGGAGTCCGGCTCGTCTTGGTCGCGGAGCAGAGTGAAGCCAGAGCGCCGGAGCGATCGGAACTGTAGTGGAGAGAAGAGGTTGTCCAGGTTCACCTGCAGGGAGGGAAGGCAAACAGGAAACACGTCAGCGGGTAAATAACAGCAGGAAAACTCACAGGTGAGCAAACATCTGGATGCTGACCTCCTCCTGCTCACTCCATGTGCACGTTGGAAGGGGATCGGGGGCGGAGTTACAATCAAAACCTTTCCTGTGGATGAGGAGAGCCGCTTCCTGTGATGGACTTCCAGCTTCCTGTTAACAAACAGAGCGAGTCAGAGCAAGAATCAAAACGTTGAAGCACGGGATGCCGCTATGCGATCCGTCCTGGAAGCAAAATCCGTTCTGATCATGCGCGAACAGAAATACATCCGGGCGTCCATAAATAATGTAATTATGGTACTAAAACTACTTATTTCTATCCTTAACTCACTAAAGAATAGTAATACACAAAAATGTTTTATCACTTTTGTGAGAAAACTTTTATGCTTTTTACATTTTCTTCGTTAAACAGCTTCTCTGACGTCATCATGGGACACGATGGGCTCATAGCAGTCCGGCGAAATATGATTAAACCAAGTTTATCTGCATTTTAATTGTTTCTTTCTTTAGATTACGCACTATATAGCATAAGGTTAAAAGGAAATGAAAACATAAAACTCAAAAACACTAGATTTTTATTGAAATAATATTTATGCATATATATATATATATACACACATATACATATATACATACATACACATATATATATATATATATATATATATATATGTGTA